CTTGAAGCGATGTCTGTTTGACCCACTTTAGTCATATAGCTCAACAATCAGTCTTATCTCAGAAAGCTGGATAAAGCTGCCCCGCAATTTCATTAGCAGAGCATTTCTACATTTCACTGAGGGTCGTGAGCGCACACATAAACACACACATCTGTGCCGAACAGAATCATACGCACATATTTGCACACATGCAACAGAGAAAACTCAAGGTTATAGAGTGTGGGTAGATTGAGAGCTTAATTCAGCGCTTCTGTGATATTTGACTTCTCTTTCTCTCACACATACGTTACAGCATTCGCTCTCTCACTTGACCCTCCTGCCGTCTGTCTGCTAAATAGCATCTGACCTTCTCTGACCTCTAGTTTTTGAGATGGAAAGGGAGCGAGATAACAACTAGCGTTTCAGCTTACAGCTTGGCTTCAGATCAAACGAAAAATGTGCTGAGAATGACACACAAGTAATGATGAAATTGGAGGAAAGGTATTCATCTTTGACATTTAATGACTGCTCCCTTTTGTTTTTCAGTAGGTCATGTTGAATTATTGTGTGTTTGACAGTGTTTAGTGCCCATTTTGAGTGTGTGGGAGAGAAAAACCATTCTCACCTAGAACACGTGGGATTACATGGTACCCATGCACTTTGTAAACCCACTTTGGACATTTCACATTTGCAATTAAGTAAAGCTAATTATTAATTTGTTCCATCATCTAGCACTAACGTAGAGGGATAGCAACAGATTTAACCCTATAATCTCGTTAAGATCACAAGTTAGCAGCACTACTGCATTTGTGCTTAAAATGAGTTCAATTCCTACAAAAAATAGAACATCTTTATTAATGCTACTTTACGTTAATACATTTATGCATAACCAAGTAGGAAGGTATATAATCTGTTCATCAGCTATTAAACTAATTATTTTATTGAATTAATTAGTAATTATTAAATTATCTTATCTGTATCAGTCAGAATTCCAGTATCATTACATCCCTAGTAATTTAGTGAAAAAGGTTTTGTTCAGCTCTAAAATATTTAAAGGGATAGTTCACCCAAACATGAAATTCTTTCATCATTTACTCACCCACATGTTGTTCCAAACTTGTATGTTAAGATATTTTAAAGGTGAGTAAATGATGACAATATTTTTTTTTCTTTTTCTTCCCCCCCCATGGCATAGGATGTAGCTCTTTTGCAACAATCTCTGTTTCTCTCACTCCCCCTTGTCTTTATTGTCGCTCACTCCCTGGGAATATCTTTACAGAACTGAATGAGTCATCCCGTGTCTGTAGATTAATGAGAGAGAAAGTGTGTGTGTGTGTGTGTGTGTGTGTGTGTGTGTGTG